GTGATAGTGGCAGCACAACACCACAGTACAGTGAACTAGAGTGGCAGCACAACACCACAGTAGTGATAGTGGTGGTACAGTGAACTAGAGTGGCAGCACAACACCACAGTAGTGATGGTGGTGGTACAGTGAACTAGAGTGGCAGCACAACACCACAGTAGTGATGGTACAGTGAACTAGAGTGGCAGCACAACACCACAGTAGAGATGGTACAGTGAACAAGAGTGGCAGCACAACATCACAGTAGTGATGGTGATAGTGATGGTACAGTGAACTAGAGTGGCAGCACAACACCACAGTAGTGATGGTGGTGGTACAGTGAACTAGAGTGGCAGCACAACACCACAGTAGTGATGGTGATGGTACAGTGAACTAGAGTGGCAGCACAACACCACAGTAGTGATGGTGGTGGTACAGTGAACTAGAGTGGCAGCACAACACCAGTAGTGAGTGATGGTACAGTGAACTAGAGTGGCAGCACAACACCACAGTAGTGATGGTACAGTGAACTAGAGTGGCAGCACAACACCACAGTAGTGATGGTGGTGGTACAGTGAACTAGAGTGGCAGCACAACACCACAGTAGTGATGGTGATGGTACAGTGAACTAGAGTGGCAGCACAACACCACAGTAGTGATGGTGGTGGTACAGTGAACTAGAGTGGCAGCACAACACCACAGTAGTGATGGTGGTGGTACAGTGAACTAGAGTGGTAGCACAACACCACAGTAGTGATGGTGGTGGTACAGTGAACTAGAGTGGCAGCACAACACCACAGTAGTGATGGTGGTGGTACAGTGAACTAGAGTGGCAGCACAACACCACAAGTAGTGATGGTACAGTGAACTAGAGTGGCAGCACAACACCCCAGTAGTGATGGTACAGTGAACTAGAGTGGCAGCACAACACCACAGTAGTGATGGTACAGTGAACTAGAGTGGCAGCACAACACCACAGTAGTGATGGTGGTGGTACAGTGAACTATAGTGGCAGCACAACACCACAGTAGTGATGGTGATGGTACAGTGAACTAGAGTGGCAGCACAACACCACAGTAGTGATGGTGGTGGTACAGTGAACTAGAGTGGCAGTACAACACCACAGTAGTGATGGTAGTGGTACAGTGAACTAGAGTGGCAGCACAACACCACAGTAGTGATGGTGATGGTACAGTGAACTAGAGTGGCAGCCCAACACCACAGTAGTGATGCTGATAGTGGTACAGTGAACTAGAGTGGCAGCACAACACCACAGTAGTGATGGTGATGGTACAGTGAACTAGAGTGGCAGCACAACACCACAGTAGTTATGGTGATGGTGGTACAGTGAACTTGAGTGGCAGCACAACACAACAGTAGTGATGGTGGTGGTACAGTGAACTAGAGTGGCAGCACAACACCACAGTAGTGATGGTGATGGTACAGTGAACTAGAGTGGCAGCACAACACCACAGTAGTTATGGTGGTGGTACAGTGAACTAGAGTGGCAGCACAACACCACAGTAGTTGTGGTGGTGGTACGGTGAACTAGAGTGGCAGCACGACACCACAGTAGTGATAGTACAGTGAACTAGAGCGGCAGCACAACACCACAGTAGTGATGGTGGTGGTACAGTGAACTAGAGTGACAGCACAACACCCCAGTAGTGATGGTGGTGGTACAGTGAACTAGAGTGGCAGCCCAACACCACAGTAGTGATGGTGATAGTGGTACAGTGAACTAGAGTGGCAGCACAACACAACAGTAGCGATGGTGGTGGTACAGTGAACTAGAGTGGCAGCACAACACCACAGTAGTGATGGTACAGTGAACTAGAGCGGCAGCACAACACCACAGTAGTGATGGTGGTGGTACAGTGAACTAGAGTGGCAGCACAACACCCCAGTAGTGATGGTGGTGGTACAGTGAACTAGAGTGGCAGCACAACACCACAGTAGTGATGGTACAGTGAACTAGAGTGGCAGCACAACACCACAGTAGTGATGGTGGTGGTACAGTGAACTAGAGTGGCAGCACAACACCACAGTAGTGATGGTGATGGTACAGTGAACTAGAGTGGCAGCACAACACCCCAGTAGTGATGGTGGTGGTACAGTGAACTAGAGTGGCAACACAACACCCCAGTAGTGATGGTACAGTAAACTAGAGCGGCAGCACAACACCACAGTAGTGATGGTGGTGGTACAGTGAACTAGAGTGGCAGCACAACACCCCAGTAGTGATAGTGGTGGTACAGTGAACTAGAGTGGCAGCACAACACCACAGTAGTGATGGTGATGGTACAGTGAACTAGAGTGGCAGCACAACACCACAGTAGTTATGATGGGGTACAGTGAACTAGAGTGGCAGCACAACACCCCAGTAGTGATGGTGGTGGTACAGTGAACTAGAGTGGCAACACAACACCCCAGTAGTGATGGTACAGTGAACTAGAGTGGCGGCACAACACCACAGTAGTGATGGTACAGTGAACTAGAGTGGCAGCACAACACCACAGTAGTGATAGTGGTGGTACAGTGAACTAGAGTGGCAGTACAACACCAGAGTAGTGATGGTAGTGGTACAGTGAACTAGAGTGGCAGCACAACACCACAGTAGTGATGGTGATGGTACAGTGAACTAGAGTGGCAGCCCAACACCACAGTAGTGATGGTGATAGTGGTACAGTGAACTAGAGTGGCAGCACAACACAACAGTAGTGATGGTGGTGGTACAGTGAACTAGAGTGGCAGCACAACACCACAGTAGTGATGGTGATGGTACAGTGAACTAGAGTGGCAGCACAACACAACAGTAGTGATGGTGGTGGTACGGTGATTGCTGAAATAGAGGGAATACAGAGAACATATACGGCACGCATAGACGCAATAAAGCACCTAAAGTGGCAGTCACAAAGCCACAGTAGTGTGGTCACTGGTACAGTGAACTAGAGAGGCAGCAAATACACCACAGTAGTGATACTGGAGGGCCAAGTACCAAATCTACAGTAAAATAACAACACCACTGGAGTGAACGACATGGAAGAAAAGTGTAGAATAGAACCAATGAAGAGCAGAGGTGCCACAGGCACAATCAGAGAACACTGTATAAACATGGTGAGGTACAGTGAACTAGAGTGTCCTCCCAACACCATAAGAAGTATTGCCGGAACAACCGTGAACTAGAGTGGCAGAGGAAACTAGAGTAGTGATCCAAGGATTGCCGTGAACTACCGTGGCAGTGGTGGGTACAGTAGGCCTGCGGGCCGCTCCAAGTCAACAGCCTGGTGGACCAAACACTCACAAGTAGTGATGGCCTCGGGCCAGTGGGGAGTAGAGTGGCTCCAGAACACCACAGTAGGTATCAACCAGGTAACAGTGAACTAGAGTGGCAGCACAATACCACAGTAGTGATGGTGGTGGTACAGTGAACTAGAGTGGCAGCACAACACCACAGTAGTTATGGTGGTGGTACAGTGAACTAGAGTGGCAGCACAACACCACAGTAGTTATGATGGTGGTACAGTGAACTAGAGTGGCAGCACGACACCACAGTAGTGATGGTACAGTGAACTAGAGCGGCAGCACAACACCACAGTAGTGATGGTGGTGGTACAGTGAACTAGAGTGGCAGCACAACACCACAGTAGTGATGGTGGTGGTACAGTGAACTAGAGTGGCAGCACAACACCACAGTAGTTATGATGGGGTACAGTGAACTAGAGTGGCAGCACAACACCACAGTAGTGATGGTACAGTGAACTAGAGTGGCAGCACAACACCACAGTAGTGATGGTGGTGGTACAGTGAACTAGAGTGGCAGCACAACACCACAGTAGTGATAGTACAGTGAACTAGAGTGGCAGCACAACACCACAGTAGTGATGGTGATGGTACAGTGAACTAGAGTGGCAGCACAACACCACAGTAGTGATGGTGGTGGTACAGTGAACTAGAGTGGCAGCACAACACCACAGTAGTGATGGTGATGGTACAGTGAACTAGAGTGGCAGCACAACACCACAGTAGTGATGGTACAGTGAACTAGAGTGGCAGCACAACACCACAGTAGTGATGGTACAGTGAACTAGAGTGGCAGCACAACACCACAGTAGTGATGGTACAGTGAACTAGAGTGGCAGCACAACACCACAGTAGTGATGGTGATGGTCAGTGAACTAGAGTGGCAGCACAACACCACAGTAGTGATGGTGGTGGTACAGTGAACTAGAGTGGCAGCACAACACCACAGTAGTGATGGTGATGGTACAGTGAA